TATATAAAGGGTTATCACATTTAACAACTAAGTTGGACTGGTGTGGTGGTAGCTAATGCTACCCTTCAACCCCTTCAACCTAGGATCGAATCTCAGAGCGTGCAACATAATTTTTTTTTTAATTGACACATGGGTCACCATGTCAGCCCAAAAATGCCACGTCATTGACACGTGGAAACACCACGTCATCACAAAAATGCCATATCAGCAGAACGGGCCTCCACGTCACCAGAACAGGCCCAAAATTGGGCCCTGTGATTCGAATTGCAAAAAATAACTAAAGTGGTGTATTAAATTGCTAAATTGCAAAGGTGGTGATTAAATTGCAAAATCATGAAAGGTGGTGCTTTTATATGCAATTTAGCCAAAGTTTTAAAAGTCTACATAACAATCTCATAAAATTCACAAAAGTCATTCAAAGTTTCGTTCACGAAAATTATCAATTTTAAAAAGTCTCTAAAAGTAATACAGCCCCTTAGATTACGATATTTTATAATCCGAGAGAATTTGTGATTTCACATGGTCATTGATCAATCTCGGTATGTTATAAAATCGTTCATACACTGCTGGTTCATATCATTATCATGCATATAGTAATAATTTTTAAATAGAAATTCAAAACATCAATTCATATGGTACTAGTTCAGATTTATGTAAATAGAACTATTTCTTTATATATAAATCCAATCCATACTAAAATCAGGCTCATTTCACATAATGCAAATTGAAAGTGGAAACGCTTCAAATTTAGAGGCTGTTGTGCCCCTATATTACCCCTATTTTCCACTCTCTACTTTTTGTACCCATAGCTTGTTTGTTTATAAACATTAAAAAAAAAGTATATCTCAATTAATTAAAAATGTAACTCAAGTTTATTTCAAATAAACCAATTATTTTAACATATTACATTCCAAAAATTAAGAATGCTACAATCACGTTACAGAACCATTTCATCAGAGTTTGTAATCGTTAGATAATCATGTAACCGTCAAATATAGTTGATTTACAGTTACAAAATGATTCGTAACAGACCGTAGCATTTCCCATAAATTTAATCCATACTAAAATCAAGGTCATTTTCTTTCCATTCTTATATTATTTTGAAACTTATTAGGTAGTTGGACTTATAGTATTTTGAAATTTATTTTGATAGCTGATCACTAGTCAACTTTGAAATGTTGAAAATTATGTAGTTGAAGTTGGACTATAGAGTTTGGCAAAAAAAAAAAGTTGGACTATACAAATCCACAACCAAAACCTGTATCCACACCCGACTAGAAAATTTATAAATTTAATTAATTTTACACATCATTCATTCTTGTCGTTTATTTACTTATTACAAATTTTCGTATGAGACCGACTAACCGTTAATCAAATTGACTCGTCATGAACAAATATATATATATATATATATATATATATATAGGGTTGGGTTCACATGAGAATGGTTGCTAGTGAAAGAAATAAGAATAAATTCTAGTCATTAGATCGCATGATCTAACGGTGATAAAAAATCAGTATTTCTACATTAATCAAGGGTATTATAGTTATTTCCGCACACACAACGTGGGCCCCACTCCCCAATTAATTAATCCCATCCCTCCATGACAGCTGACTCTCTCTCTCTCTCCCAATTAATTCGTCCATATCCCCAAATATATCCCATCCCCA